TGCAAACATCGAAAAATATAACTACCCAGTTTTTACGAAATACCTTACTAGGATGTTAGTAAATGACAGTGTAAAACATCCTGTAAAATTATGGCACCTGGTGTGAAGTCATTTTCAAGAAAAGTGGTATTTTTGTATACATTTCCAACGGTGGTCGGCCGACCACCGTTGGAAAAACCTAACTATTTTTTAACTACTGCGCCAAATTTACCATTTTTTCAGACCAAATTTTGTTTGCTATGTTCATGAACGGGTGCAGGCCAACTAGACTGGTTCCCTTACCTTACAATTTTCCGGCATCGATAAATTGATACATATCATCTTTAGTGGAGTCAGGGAACCAGACTACTTGAACAATTTTGTTTTTCTTGATTTTTCCAGCATTTTCGAACACAAAACTACAAACATGTCAGTGTAACAATATTTGATCTATTATACTAACCCCTCAAATAATTCATTTCTGAAAATTACAGCAAAACCCAATGATGTACATGTACATTCCCTTTAACACCAAAAATGTACATAATTTATGTACCAGCACTTTATTCTTTTCTTAACATACTCAAGTATTTTAGCCACAGATCTCTGGATTTCTGCTAATGCTGTATGACTATGAGTACAAACACAGTACACGTAGAGCCGCTGTAAATGTATTGTAATCTACTGAAATTGAATTCCAACTTGCTCTGTGGCAAGTTTGATTAGATGAGGGTCGTTGAAAATAAACACAGCCGCCAGCGCCAGCCAGGGCAGCGAAAACTATTAAAAGCCACGTGAATACCAGACAATTGAACTACAGGGGCAAACCAGACATGAACAGTATGCACGAGTTACGGACATGAAAGCTTCTGTATGTTTTAGGATGAAGCAGTAGCCAAAATGAGGAATTTAATCAATTAGGCCTACTTACAACATACATGTACACCATGTACACGACAAATGCTCTAAGCCATAGCATACATGTACAGGGTGATTCAAAAGGAAAATGACCTGGATTAATGATTTTTCCCCTTAAAGGGAAAATACAACATTTGCAAACACCAAAAAATAAAACTACCAAATCATTTTGAAATACCTTGCTGGACTGTTAGTGAATGACAGTGTAAAGCATCCTGTAAAATCATGGCACCTGGTATACTGTCATTTTCAAGAAAAGTGGTATTTTTGTATCAATTTCCAACGCTGGTCGGCCGACCAGCGTTGGAAAAAAAACTGGCTTTTTTTCAAATACTGACCCCAATTGACCATCGCACTTGTTTGCAATCGATTACACACCCCCCAATTCCATCCATTTCTGAAAATTACAGCAAAAGCAAATGATGTATATTCCCTTTAAAAAGCAAATAAATTGGACACACCAACAAAGCATATGAATGAGCATGTTCTTTCACTCATTTAAATTAGGAATTACTGAAATTGATCCATGCTACCGGTAGTAATGAGAAGTTACAGTGTATGCATATTCTGCGAAAAGAATCCATTTTGTACAGCTGTCCATGGAATGCCATTTAAAGCTTTTGAGCTGAGTGAGAAGCAGAGATTACACACAGGCATTCAGACACAAATTTATGAGATTTTCGATATTTTTGTCAAGACTGAAACATTATTTTTACGTTTTGTGTGTGTTGATTTAGGATTTATTTTTTTTCTGAAATAATGATGATTTTTGTCGGTTTTCATGTGCAAATTTTTGTTCATTTATGAAGGCTGGAGAAAGCCTTGTTTCATTGTATTTGATCAGTAAATTATCATTGGTGGTCGGCTGAATTTTGTGAGGTCTGTATTAAAATGGACACTTCTCAACCATTAAAACCACCCACGTGACAGGCTCTCGACCAATAGGAATGGGTAAACTGTCACAGGTACCGCTATTTATGAATAAATTTAAAAAAATGCACTAGAACATGATAATTCACACTTCCAATGTTTTGTGTACATTGTGTAAATAACTGAGACCTGGGCCCAATTTCATAATGCTGCTTAACAGCTTACCGGTACTTTGTGCTTACCGAGCCTCCATCTATTTCATAGTGACCGTTAAGCAGTAAAGCACAGCAAAAGCACGCTTAACCCCAGAAGAAAACTTTGCTTAAATCAGTGACGTAACAATAGAAATCTCCAGTCGCGCGCAACCGTTAGCATGAAATAGTGCTTAAGCAGCAGCTTGATTTTCTGCTGTATAGTAAGCACAACTTTTCTGCTTACTGTTAAGCAGCGTTATAAAATTGGGCCCTGGACTGCACTGGTTTATCAAGCTATTCAGAATGTTTTGTGCCCCACATAACAATTCGCCCATGTGTAATACAGGCAGATTACAATGTGCATGCGTACTGGTACATGTATGTATACTATGTACATATGTGTAGGCCTACATGTACATGTATGTGGATGGTTGAGAAATGTCTAGTATAAAGTAGACATGGTAGATGCTGAGAACATACAATGTACATGTACCGGAACTACCGGTACGTGTACATGTGTGTGGTCAGGATCTACGGTTTGCTGGTGGAGAGAAGGGGGGGGGGGGGGGGGAAGGGGGTTACAATTTCAGTGAATCATTCTCGAGAAAACATTCCATCATAAAGCAGCACAGAATGGAGAAGACTCCTGTAGAACATTTTGCGACTCACTACAATTGCACGAAGCAGAAAATTATGTCACTAACCAGCAGCCATGGCAACCATGTCAATTTCTGTTGTTGCGCTTCTAGTGCAAAACCTTGAGTGAAAATCTCTTGCAAAATTTGAAGGTGATTTAGGTGGTTTTAATGTTTTGTGGTACGAAGAAAATACATTGTTTAAGGGGTGTGAAATCTCAGCTTTAAAGCTGATTTCAGCTTTTTTTCAGCTTTTTCCCTCACTTGCTGTGTACAAAAGTATAGGAGATCTCCAAAATTCAGCTTTTTAACACCTTTTTCAGCTGTTTTCGGCTATTTTTTATCACTGGTCGCTCAAACCCCTTATAATGCCGTTTCCATTTATTATTTTGTTAAAATGTGAGACCAACAGTCATCTGGTGATTCTGGTCCTTGGACATTCTTCTGGTATGGACATGAGCAGTACAAATGTACGTCCGTAATCCTTGTATTACCTGTGCGTGTACCCATTTGTGTGCAGTTTGACACAGGGGATTGACCGGAAGAATTAAGTGTTGCGTACTGACGTGCATGCATCTGGACGGATTATTATGCATACATGTACATACGCGTACACTTAGGTTACAGGCATGTACATCCACGTATTAAATTGATGATACCGGTACAGAGGCCAATAGAATTATCCCAAGTGACGTCATACAAACATGTACATGTAGTACATGTAGTTGAAGCCTTCAATGATCAGGATCTTTTGTATCTTTCAGCATAGTTACTGAACCATTAACATCTTGTTCATCTGCACGATTTTGTTAATACCTGAATACTGGTACACGTAATACACATGTGTGTATTCACATCCATCATGTCCACGCGAACAATGTACACTTACATGTACGTGTGGGCACTTCCCTACTAAATGAGGTACAAATTGACTGTTAAATTTGGGATTACACTGGAGGGTACATTAAAGCAAGATATTTTGTTCATTTTTTCCCCCTGTAAGTTCCTGTGGCCATACATTGTTATGATATTGTGTGCAGAAAATATAGAGGACTTTCGGGTACGTTGAGAAATTACAGGGGTCATCGTAAATAATTATGTACGTAGTTACTATGGACAGAAATTTTGCTAAACAGTATTGACAGGACACTAATTATCACATTGTATTAATTTTCCCATATGTCATCTCCTTTGTACAGTACATTGTATTCATAACCCATTAAGGATAGCAACAGCCAAAATAAACTGCAATTTTCTTGGTCTTAACACACCTATGGACATGTAACGTACCAGTACGTAACATGGACAGAAATCTTGTGACAAATTTGTGCCCATGGTAGGTACGTAATATTCTGAACCTGATAATCCTGAGACTCTTAAACATAGGGCCTACAGTAGATTTTCTACGTAACATGGACAGAAATCTTGTGACAAATTTCTGTCCATGCTACGTACGTAATATTCTGAACCTGATAATCCTGAGACGTCTTAAACATAGGGCCTACAGTAGATTTTCTACGTAACATGGACAGAAATCTTGTGACAAATTTCTGTCCATGCTACGTACGTAATATTCTGAACCTGATAATCCTGAGACGTCTTAAACATAGGGCCTACAGTAGATTTCTACGTAACATGGACAGAAATCTTGTGACAAATTTTTGTCCATGGTACGTACGTAATATTCTGAACCTGAAAATCCTGAGACGTCTTAAACATAGGGCCTTCAGTAGATTCTCTTGTTTTTGTTTTTTATAGGTAACAATGCTGTAGGGATAAGAATGAAAAGGCACAGTATTTGATAAACATTCATTGTAATTACAAACTCTATCTCTCCATGTTTAATAAGATTGTGACATTCTGAGAATGCACACATGTACAGGGTGAGTAAAACAAAACGAAACCCAAATGTTGGGACCATTGTTTTAGTGAAGTTCTGCATGTAACACTTTCAAAATCTAGGATATAAAAGCCCAATTCATTTGCCTTCTTTTAGTACAAGAATCATTCAAATCACTCATACATGTACTTTCAGTGTTCTTTCAGCGAAACGAAAACAAATCACATGGGGCTGTGTGTGAATTGTTTTCGTTTTGCTGAAAGAATGCACACCGTTTTTGTGATCCGTGGACAGAACTTTAAAATGATGGTTGTCGTTAAATTCCGTAACTGGAAAGGTACACGAGTGATTTGAGTGATTCTTGTACTAAAAGAAAGCTTATGAATTGGGCTTTCATGTCCTAGATTTTGAAAGTGCTACATGTAGAATTTCAATAAAATAGTAGTCCCGACACTTGGATTTCGTTTTTTTTTTACTCACCCTGTATACATGTACATGTAGGCCTATCTTGTTTGCCTAGATTTATGTTTGAAAGCTCAATTTGTTTTCTTCTTTTGTTGACAGTCCCTTGTTTGTGACGTGGAAGATCGGGAAGGACAAGCGTCTACGTGGCTGTATAGGAACCTTTACTGCCTTGAATCTACACGATGGCCTCAGGGAATATGCAATCTCTAGGTGAGTAGCGTATTCCAGGGGCAAATTTGGCTACTCACAGAAACAACGAGACCAGCACCTTATTTCATGAAATTCATCGTAACTTAAATATGATGCATCACTGCGCTGCGACACGTCGTATACCTACGATCTGTAGCAGCTACGGTACGATGCGTCGCAGCTGCGACACGTCCTGTGATTCATTTCACAAAACACGTCGTACGTGCGACGGGTCGTACGTGAACATGTTGGTGTATTTAGAGTACAACACAAGTGCCCGTTACATGGCACACAGTAAATAGTGGTCTGATCTTCAGCAAAGAGTCGTCAGATCTGAGCTTGCAAAGGTTTTAAAACATAAAACAAACTGGCGAGTGTCTGATGCAGTTTTAAAGTAAAATAAGCTCATGGTGGACTGTTAGCTAATTTGAAATTTCGACCAGGCAAGCTACAATTCATAATTAATTTTGAGGCATATTCCAGTTACTACTTCACACACAGTGTCTCTGTGTTATTGTCTCGTTAATTAAACTTTATGGCATAATACTGGCTAACTCAAAATGCTTTTTATTTTGCAATGACCACTAGACTCATGGTAACCTGTTGTGCGTTGCAAACCATTGTCAATGAACTTACGACACGTTCAACACGAAATGGATCACACCATCATGCTTTGCACAAACCTGGACATTTTTTTTTTAAGTTTTAGCATTTTCAAATTAATGCGTATTTCAGCTTCAAACATAAGTATTGAAATGCTCTTTGTATAAAGTTCTGCAAATATTTTTTTTCATGGGTGGATTATATTCATATTTTGGGAGGTTTGTAGATTAATACATGTATACCGGTACCGATGTAGTTACCGATTCAGAAAATCTCAAAACCTCAAAATGTTCAGTTCCACCCCCAAAAAATGACTTCACATACACTTTGTGCAAGACACAACATCTTCAACTGTGTCTGGGTTTTGTGGGAGTGCATGAAGGTCTCACATTCGGTCAGCAAATTTGTAGGTAAATTTTTTTGCCTGGGTCGTCGTGAAACGGCTTTCTGAGATTTGTCCCTGTTGAGCATCGATCAAGTAGGCATCGTACCGGTACACGGAGACATGCTAAGGGCATAATCTCAGTGAAGCTGGAACAGAGATCTTGACATTACGACGACGGTTCAACAGTAAATCACTGCCCTTGTGTTTTGCCATTTCAATGAGCATTTTAGTATCGACACACGTTGGAATGTCAATGTCACATGCTTATAGGCTCAGGTGTGTCCCAGTCCCTTGATGAATTTTTGATGTGATCTACATGTACATGTAATATGTTTTGTCATTTTTTTTTTTGCCTAGTAGAGCATTACATGTAAACGGTGGATTTTTTATGATCAGCCGTAAGTGTAAATGTACTTGACATTTTGTTTTTCTCTCTTGCTTTTCAAAATCATTTGTAGAGTTTTGAGTATGATATGTCAAGAGAAAATGGCATCGTTTTCTATTTTTTTCCCCCCAAGAGTTTACCTTGTTTAATAACCCCATTTTTATCAAGTAAGATTTTTTTTTTTATTTCAGCAAAGTACGAGATCTTCAAGATCGTAAATGGGCTGTGGCCGGTGTTGTCGTTTTTGGGGAACTGTCTTTATTTTTCAGATTGGCCAACTTTTTGCATTAATTTTCTTTTGACTAGACTGCAGCTGTTGATCTTCATTGATCTTTCAAATTAAATATGGTTGCTCCTGAGTCCAATGTGCTTAGACTTGCAGTAGAGGCTATAGGCCCCTATATAGGGTCATTTGCCTTTCATGCATTTTGTTTACATTTCCAATAATAGACACTACTCAAAATTCTGAGAAGAATGTTCAAAACCTGGGTTTCAGCCCAGTGGGTATTACCATTGCTGAGAAAACTGTGTAAAACATGTAAAAAGCTGCAAAAGCTTTGATCACGAAACTAAGATTTTTCAATACTACATGTAACTCTTTTATTTCCAACGATCAATTGACTGATCGTCGGAAATCACCTACATTTTGTTAATTCTTCAAAATGATAGCAAGCCAGACGGAATAATTTCACGGGGTGTTTAGTACCAGTACGATCATGAACCCTGACCTTCCTCAATCCTCCAAAATCCTCCAAAATCCTCACGGCGGTTTTGGAGGATTGAGGATACTGGGGGCAAATGGTTTTTAAGAAACATGAGGATTTTGGAGGATTGAGGATGAATGGTGTTTGAGAAACATGAGGATTTTGGAGGATTGAGGATGAATGGTGTTTGAAGAAGAGCAGGATTTATGAAGGATTGAGGATGAATGCATATTTTGAGGCAGGACTTTCTGTCGACTTTGTAGGATTGAGGTCCTGGGTATCCTTCATTTGAACATAAGTGCAAACTATTGGAGGATTTTGGAGGATTGAGGATGGATCCTGGCAAAAAGGCCCGAGGGGATTTTAATCCAAGTAAGCTTTTTTGATAATAATTCATTTGGTTACTTTTTGGATAAAAGCAACTAATCATAGATATATGTATGCCTTTAATTCAAGCATCCAGAATAAAAAAAACCGGTCACATGTGCAACTGTGGAAAGCCAGTCTCGCAACTGGTTAATATGTAACTTCAGATTGGGTAAAAAGACATCATTATGCAGTGACTGTTAACATTTTTTTTCTATTCAGACATGTACAGGGTATTCATGTACGTACCCCTAGACCCCAGGTGGCACTTGTCATTACTGCACTTGGCATGTCATGATAACCCATATCTGATCCGGCATGAAAACACGAAATTCCTGGCAACAATCGCCCTGTGATCAATACATACCACCTGGCTCTGGTGGACTGTGGCCGTGATGTCATTAACATGAATGACTCAAGCACTGTTTCTGCATACATGTACATGTACATGTGTAGCACCCACAGTCAAGGATCTGTTTTGGTCATTTTGAGAGTGGCCCACTCGCAAAAAAGTTAGTGCCAGGGCAGACATTTCTGATCTTTTTTAAGGAAGGGGGTGGGGTGGGTTTCAAAACAAATGGTCCAATGGTTACAGTGTTCGTGCTGTGGTACGGGTACGTGGGTTCGAACCCTGACAGGGAACATGGTGCTTGTGTTTTTGGGCAAGACACTTTACTACAATTGCCTCTCTCCTCCCAGGAGTATGAATGGGTACCTGTGAAGGTAGACACCAGAATGCGCTGATCTCAAGCTGCTGTAGAAAAATGGTCTCGTTCATGATGAACAGGGATAATAATTGCAAAGTGCTTTGAAACCAACTATAAGGCGCTATATAAGCCCCACATTATTATTATTATTTAGAATGTGAAGTAATCCATAATGCACAAATTTATTTGGATAATTTCAAGCTTGCAGAAAAATTACCATCCTTTTTGGTGAGTCTTTTACCGGTCGTTGAGGAAAAACAACAACCGCCTTCACATTCTCATTTCAAGGAAGCAGATTGCAACCGGAGTTGCCTGAATGATGTATGACCGGCAATCACCCCCTACTCTTTTTTCTCTCTCTCTTATTTATCCGCTTTCTTCTTCCCTCTTCTTCTTTGGCAGTGCTTTTAAGGATAGTCGTTTCCCGCCTGTCAATAAGGAGGAGATATCCCGTATGTCATGCTCCGTCTCGCTGCTACGTCACTTTGAGGAGGCCCGAGACTACGAAGATTGGGAGGTAATTATTCAAGGGCTCTCTGTTTTTTTAGTCGTTGGATTTAGAAAGCTTCACTGTCTGCTGTTATTGGTGTGTTAGAAAACAGCAAGGTGTCTTGGTATGTGTAGAAAACGGCAAGGTCCCTGCAAAAAACCTAAAGAAATTTTAAGAGTTGAATGGTATATAGGTTGAGTAAAAAATAAACGCATCCCAAATGGCAGGACCAATTTTTGAATGAAGTTTTGCCTGTAGCACTTTCCAATTCTAGGATATGAATGCCCAGACATTAAGCTTTCTTTTTAGTTAAAGAATCATTCAGATCACTTCTGTACTTTTCAAGTAACAGCATTTTGAACACAAGCACCGTTTCAAAGTTCATTCCACGGATCACCAAAAAGAGGAAGTGTTCTTTCTGAAAAACTTTGTCCTGCCATTTGGGATGTGTTTTTTTTACTCGCCCTGCACATGTACTTTACTATTTTAAAATTTTAATTTACTGCAGGATCAAGTTAATATCTTTGTTTTTGTAAATTTAGGTCGGCGTCCATGGTATTCGCATAGAATTCTACAACGAGAAAGGTCAGAAGAAGACTGCTACTTACCTTCCAGAAGTAGCCTCGGAACAGAGTAAGTCTGGAGGTAGTGTCATGGCTGGTAATTGACAGATTTAAAGAAGGAATTTGAGCTAATAATCCACACAGAAAGTTCTCAAATCATGCCATGTAAAGTGGCTTTTCGACAACAATGTGGCTTTCGACCAACAATAAAACCACGCAACTTATACCATTAAAATAACATTGTGGGTATCTCTTTCATCATTTCGTCAAGACTGTTAATATAAAAAAAACGCTATTCGGGTATCGGTGGATGATTGACTTTTCAAATATTTGGTACATTGGAGTTCCCTGACGTGGCACACTTCGTTTCCCTCGACTGTCCTTGTGAAGTGTTCCCAAACCTCTTTGTTGACAAAGGTCAAATTCATTCAGTTAAATACTGGTACTTTTACGTTAATAATGCTTGCTGTTGAGCCTTTGTGAACAATTTGAGTGCCACAAAATTTAGTCCGAAATTCAATGGTAATGTCCAGAAATTGGGGTCAAATTCGGCTAAGTGTTCCCTAATATGGCACACTTGAACAAATCTCAGAAAATCCCACGTTAATATTTAAGAATTTCTTTAAAGTTGGTAAATTCTGATAAATCGATATCATCTCCACTCACATACCCAACTACAAGTTTGTCAGAAAATTATTTTCTTATTTGTGAGTGCATTTAAAAGGGTTCATTGTGCACTTCAAAATAAAATTAGAAAATCACGCCAAAATGGAATTTCTCTGGAACGTTGTAGCGGTACGTCAACTCAAGATTTATGAATGAGAATGTTTAGAGCTTGCTGAAATTTCACTTGCTGTGAAATTTGAAGTAAAAGTTTTGCTCTAGCAAGGCAATAGAGAAAAAAAATCAAAGGCCGCCACGTTAGGGTACATCAACAATATATTTGCACAGCCCTAGAGGTCTTTGTTTGATTGGGAAAAAACCCAGCCTGATTTTAATTTTGGACTTTTTTTGTGGTCTCTTGCTCATCCTCAGATTGGAACAAAGAGCAGACGATAGACTCGCTGCTACGCAAGGGCGGCTACAAGACGCCCATCACCAACGACTTCCGCAAGACGATACGGGTGACCCGCTACCAGAGCGAGAAGATCTCGGTCCACTTCAGCGACTACGCCGATCACTTTCGTCAGAACGGGCGGGTTTAATGAATGGCAGCCACAAGCGCAAACTCTGTGGGGGAGGAGGGGCCTCAGGCACACGTGCACGGCGCTCGTGATCCTCGGCGTCGTGTTCGCGATTTACTTTTTCAACTGAGCTTTTTTTGTTAAGTGCGGTATTGTCGGGGAGGCCATCACAAGTTCTTCAGTCTAAAAGTCAAGTCCCAAGCAATTTGTGACAAAAGCATTCCTTTGTCAGCGTGTTCATCCCCAGTTGCTCGAGACTGGACTTGCGAAAGGACTTGGGATTTACTTTTTGACCGGACTTGTGATGGACTTGACTCCAAAACTGTCCAAGCAGTGGGATAGGTTAAAACGTCACCTCACGCAACACTTCAGGACGTGGTTGATACTTGGACGTGCAAATTTAAACATTTGGACAACATGTAACAATCACAGCCAAGTGTGTGGAAATGAGTCGAAATTTGGAAAGAATTTTGCATCCTGACGCCAGTTTTTCATCATATATTCATATGTATATTACCTCAATGAAGGCCAGTCATCACAAAAATGTTGAAAAGACATGAATCTGGGACTAAGACACATTTCCAATTTTGTTAGCAAATACTTGGTATAAATGTACTCAACAATCCATAGACTTTTTACGCAACCTAAGAAGTGGCGTTACGATGCTACATTCTTTCCGAAACTTTTTGCAGAGTTGCTGGGCGAGTACTTGCTACGATGTCACAAATCCGTGTTCCAGTTTCGAGTGTGAACCGGCCTTTACACATGCGTAGCATCAGTTTTAACATTGAAACCCTGTTCATACTTCATGCCAATTTTAGAGCGAAGCGAAGTTGCTTGTGTTTCCGAATTTGCTCGTGTTTCTGAGTGTGCTTGTGTTTCAAGAAGTTGGCACAGCTCTCATGTATGCAGTATGAGCTAACCACACTAGTCTGGCATTATTAGTGTTGCGAAAATGAACTTGGGCAACTGTATACATGTACATGGACACTTGTCTGTAGCATGTTGTGAGGACAGTATGTCACGAATTGGCATTCATGCAACAATGTGTGGTTAAACCATAGAGCTATATTAAATTACTAGAGCGCTAACTTTGTGTACAAAGTAATGCCTGCTGGGCGCATCCATGTGTGTGCAGAAACCTATGGAGACCAAGAAATTTTGTACGGCTATTTGCATATCTGCGTTTGTATTCCATACTGGTGCGTTATCGAAGCCGATACGCCTAAAACCGTAACGCACGATCAGCAAATGAGCATGTCATTTTGCTCTATACGCAAACAGCGCAACACGTGCACGTATTCGCTGCAGATGCTTTTTGCCGTCACGGTTTTTTTTAACCGTCAGTGACGCGCTTAAGTTGTTTGGGTATGTTCTACTTGCGCATTGCGTGTAGAGTACACTTTCAAAAATTCAATCCATCTAATTTCATTATGTTCTACAAACACGCACATGAGTTCAAAATGTCTGCGCCCAGGACGGCTTCAAAACGTCTGTGCTCGCAAGAATGAAGAGTTAGCACTCTAGTAATTTAATATAGCTCTATGCGTTAAACCAATTTGCAACTTCTCATTCTAAATTTTTATTTTTTATTTTTCCCCTTGCTTTTTTTGACCTTCTCTTCCCCCTCAAGTTTGCGATTGTGGCTGATAACGGAATCTCTTTAGAACACCCAGGGATATGTATGAAAATTATTCAAGAAATGAATTAAACAAAGAAAGACACAATTCCACGATATCTGTTTTTTATACGGAGTTATATTAAAGAGCCTAATTCATTTTTGATAAGTTAGTTTTTAACTGAGAATTTCTAGTCTCCGTAGTAGCAAATTCAACCAACTTCAGAAGATGGTGAAAGATTTCACGTACATGTATGTGTCAGTACCAGTCGTAGCAGGTTTTTGTGACTTAAGGACTAGATTGAAAAAAAAATGGAAAAAACAAAGCATTGTAGACATGGTGGATAAAAACGGAGGGGCGGGGTTTGGGAGACAGTTGGAGGGAGGATCCTGTTCTACATCGGTGCCTGCTCTAGTGTAGTCTTTGCTCAAGGCTGGATTTGGAATTTGTTGCCCTAATGCAGCTGTTTCCGATCCGTGGCAAACATAGTCAAGCCACTGTGGTAGAGGCACTGTCAACAAGATGAATCTAATCCAGTCTTGGCAACTTCGGCAGCGTGACCCAAGAAATTCCAAGCATACTGTACCTCACACGCAGCGTATTCAAGCCAATGCGTGCATGTGAGGTACGATCCGAACTTCTTGGTTTCCAGTGCCAAAGTTCCCAAGACGATTTGATTCATCTTGTCGCCAAGGCGCCTCTACCACCGCAACGTCACGAGCAGGGCATGTGGTGGCTGACCTGGGTGAGCTCTGACGTCAGAGCTAATCGAACGGCACGGGGCTCACCCGAGTCGACTCGGGTGAGCTAATTGATCGAACGCACCAATAGAATGTTTGCATTGCAGGCTTCTTTGAAGGCATAAATAGACCCGTTTTGTGCATTCATTGTTACTGAATCAAATAACGAAAAGTCCCTCAAAGATGGCAGCGGAATGCAAAGGGTCAATACATGTAACACAGAGAACAGTCTGTCCGTACAGTAGTGTTCAGAAATAGTGAAGTACATGTCCCATTTTATATATATCGTCGGGAAAAAATGGAAACGAAGTTGGAAAACCTGTCCTGGTAAAGTTATGTCACAGATCAATGGTGCGTCGATTATCTTAGTTAAGTAGATGAGTATAGATTTTTCACACGGAGATTAGAATGTGGAAGGACATTTTTATATATGTATTGTGGTACTTCTGAATTGATGGCTCATGTACTGCGGTCTGGCACTGGATAGTAAGGCTTAGGTCCTAAACGGAAAAGAGAAAGAAAAAAAATTCCACCTAAAAAAAAAAATTGAATAGATTATAGATCAGTGTCTTGTCACACGACCCTGAAATTGTAGGTGTTTTTGTGGACGAGGTACAAAAAAAAATGTTGTAATTGTGGTAGCCGAGACATATTTTCTCAAAATGAAGTACAAAGTTTCACCCCCGTGTTTTTTAATATGGCGCGGCACCACTAAGTGATTCGCATCCTGCACAAAACGATGAATGGGAAAACAAAAGATTATTGTGGTGGTTTTGAGTAGAGTGTTCAAAAGTTGGTATTTCTGAATGAATGTCCTTAGAAGTTAAAAGATTGGTGTGTAGTTTACTCTCGAAAATGTAAAGAAAAAAGGGATTGTGAATTTTTTTTTTTTTTAATTGTTTTTTTTTACTTTAGTCAGGTGCACTAGCTCTGTCATCCTTTAATCTGGTGCAATTGTGAAAGGGTACAAGACGGCACCCACCTGTGTAAAATCATGGGGACCAAGTACAATTTTTGTGTGATTTCTTCTTAATGAATATTTATTTCCATCGTCCTTTTCTGAAACTTTGATTGGTTCCGAGTATCATTGGTATTCAGTTTTGTTTATTTTATGCTCCTGCCCTGATGTGGCGAATGAAAACACAAGAATTTACAAATTGAACAGTGCCTGAGATCGCAAGCAATTCAAAGTATATCATGAAAGTATCATATTCAGATATCATATTTTTTTTTTTTTAGTTTTACAGTTTTTGGTTTTATTGCCTGTTTTGCATGTTTTATTTCTATCCAATGTAACTACACTGTATGTAGCATGTTTTAAAGTTTTGTTTTATATTGTACGTAGATTTACACAGACAAAAAAAAAAAGCACAAATGTTGGTGAGTAATTTATCATAGTACGAAGTAGCTTATTCTTCACGTTTTAATTATTCATTGATTTCTCTGTTTTGTACCATAATACTTGCCTGTTTTATTTTACATTTCATTTATGACCATTTTGCCGAATCGATATTATGCAGTTTTACTAAAAGCACTGATCTTGACTAACGTGCTCAAACAGCGTTCCATTGGAGCGTTGGGATTTTTTCATTTGGCAAATTAATGAACAGGCTTTGAGAAGGGGCAGTGGTGGAAACTATAGCAAGGCCCAACTATAGTTGGGATGGTCCCAACCACAGTTGGGACACTCCTAACCACAGTTGGGACACTCCTAACCATAGTTGGGATGCTCTTAAACATAGTTGGGACGCTCCCAACCACATTTGGGACACCTACTCCCAACCACAGTTTGGACGCTCCCAACTGTAGTCAGGACGGTCCTAACCATAGTTTGGACGCTCCCAACCATAGTTGGGACGCTCCCAACCACAGTTGGGATGCTCCCAACCATAGTTAAGATGCTCCCAAACATAGTTAAGATGCTCCCAACCATAGTTAGGATGCTCCCAAAGGATGCTCCCAACCATAGTTAGGATGCTCCCAACCATTGTTAAGATGCTCCCAACCATAGTTAAGATGCTCCCAACCATAGTTAGGATGCTCCCAAAGGATGCTCCCAACCATAGTTAGGATGCTCCTAACCATAGTTAAGATGCTCCCAACCATAGTTAGGATGCTCCCATCCATAGTTGGGACGCTTCCAACCTTAGTTGGGAAGGAACCATCACTAGTTGGGAGAGGTTCCGATTATAGTTGGGACGGTCCCAACTACGGATGGGACAATGCTATTGTTGGGAGGTAACAAATCCATTACCATTATGAATCCATATATCACAACCATTCTACTTGGTCACATTAGTGGCTAGTCTTGATTCAAGACTGAGTTTATATGTTACCTTGTGCCACTGTCTGTGCAGAAAATGTTGGTCAGCAGAACTTAACCTTGATTTCAAGGCTGTGCTGTTTCAGCGGGCAGGCATCACTGACAGGGCTACAGCTTACCCAGCTCTGGCCCCTTGTTAGTACAGCAAAACCCCCATCCATCGTGTGAATCCCGCAGTGCAGACTCAACTAGGCCTATACCACATTACACATTTTTGTACTTGGCATTTGTGTGGCCACCGATGCCTACTGTGTACCATCAACTGGTAATGAAATGGTCCAGTCTGGAATTGAGGCTAGTTCTTTTAGCCCAGTTTAATGCTGGCATGGCAAAGTGTAGTGTTGAATGATTTCACCCCAGGGCTTGTATTTGGTACACACAACATTTTTTTATGAGTGGCAGTCAACAGTATTGTAAATGAAAGGGACGGTGTTAACCAGTGTGTATTGGGTACCGAGGGTATAATTCATCCTATTCGATAAAATTAGTGACGGTTTTCTTTCATGGATTTGACACTGAATGTGGGGAAATTTATGATCAAATTATTCAAAGTTGTAGAATTGTTCTCGCACCAATCTTACAGTATTTTGGACGCCCCATTGTGTGACTCCAACTCCCTTAAAAAATGTTTTGAACAGAGACGTTAAATAAACGGAGAACTGCCAACGTAGGGTTGGATAGCTCAGTTGGTAGAGCACCAGAACGGTAGTCCGGAGGTTGCAGGTTCAAACCCAGCTTCGGTCAATTTCTTTGTTCAACTTAAAAAAAAAAAAAAATCTTGGTGCACGGATGCATTTACTAATTTCCTGGTCCAAATCTGTAGATGTGTTTTTTTTCTCTTAACTATAGTGTTGTGTTGGAAGAAATGAAAATTTCCATCATTTTGAAAAAAACACAAAAAAAAACAAACCTGTTAGTAATCCTGTACGATGGTATTTTGATCGGATCTAGTGAGACGGGACCTTGTTGAGTGTTAGGATGTTGTATATATGTCAGTAGGACAGACTTGCAATTAATGGATTTGTATAATTTAGAAATTAATAAAGAACACGATCCGAGTATCAAAAAAGTGTGTCATCTGACTGTTGTTTGGTGTTAGTGTTGCTGTTGTGACAGTGGCTTTAACATTGCTGTTTTGATTCACAGAAATGGCCCTGTTCCCTTTGGTAGGGAAATCTTGAGCAAACAACGTCAGTGAGATTTGCTTGCCGAATGCGACCACCAGCAGAGGCCTCTGCTGTTGCCATTCTTCAGTCTGTCTTGACGAAGTGTGGATGGACCGGGAACTAGTCTAGGTCTCCCCCAACTCTTCTTTTCTGGCCGTTGAGGGGGGTACTTGTGCACGAAGCCCTTAGGATTGCTATAGGATTCCCATAGACTGATCAACTAGCTTGCCTATGGACACAAGCTCCATAGTCTTGCTGGTTCCAACCTGAAGAACTTCTCTCAATCTTGAGACGGATGCAACAGACAACTAGGCCTTGTCGGACAAGACAATCTCAAAACCAAATGAAGTCGTAAAGACACAAGAAATTTTGTAACAAAACTGGCAACAATGCTTTATTTACATTTACTTGTAAACAATACTTGTTTTGGGGTTTGAAAAGCCAAGATAAATTTGAAGACAATTCATGTGAAATGTTCCCGTCATAATTCATTGAAGACTTGGGACTCCCTTTAAGGGCACAATTCCAATTTAGGATTCAATTTCTCAACATTGATGTTTTTGATCTACTAAAGAATTGGGCACAAAAGAAATTCAACTATTTCTTTCACAATTAGTTTTCAATTCTTATAAAATGTCCAGACTATTTGTCTACACACCAGAAGACACTGTCTACCGTAACAAAAAAGTCTGGGGGTATTAGATTTTGGGTTAAGCATGCTACGAAATACAGTTCAGTAATCAACATACTCTATAAATCATCTGTAGTGTTTCATCAAATCTAGCTAAAGCACTAAATTACTGAAATCTCTTGTGTTTCTGGGATCTAGACAGGAATGTTTTTCTCACAGATCGAACTTTGCTCTGTAAGTAGCGGGTAGACAGACAAAAAGATGAAGTACTTTTACTGTAGAGGAATTTAAGGTTAGTGAAGTGGGGTTAGTGATCGGGTTCCATATCAGCGTCGGCAAATTGTCCTGTGTCCATGGCTTCATCGTGTTCTCCGGAACCTGACAAATTGGACAAGAAAAAGAAAGACAATTTACATTTAGGTTAAATATTGACCAGCAGGGAGGGCACTAGTGCACATCTATGCACCCTGAGGGACTGTGAGTGCCTCAGAGAGGGTCCTATTTTCCAATGAGAAAGGGAAATAGTGTACTTCTAGTAGTTTAGGTAAGTAAAATTTAACCAATTATTTTAATAGCTTGTGACTTGACTTGAGACTTTAACCCCCTCGGCCCTTTTTGCTAAGAACCATCCTCAATCCTCCAAAATCCTCCAAAATTTTGCAACTGCGCCTAAATTTTTCAAAATTGTCAGACAGTCCTGCCTCAAAATGCATTCATCGGCAATCCTCCAAAATCCTCCTCATCCCAAAATTTTGCACTCGTGTTTAAATGAAGGATAACCAACGCCAAATCCTTCAAAATCATCAGACAGTCCTGCCTCAAAATGCATTCATCCTCAATCCTCCAAAATCCTCTTGTGCTTCAATCACCATTCATCCTCAATCCTCCAAATTCCTTATGTGCTTCAATCACCATTCATCCTCAATCCTCCAGAATCCTCATGTGATTCAATCACCATTCATCCTCAATCCTCTAGAATCCTCCAAAACCACCAGGAGGATTTTGGAGGAGTGAGGTGGGTTAGGGTTTGACTTGTGAGGATTTGCGACTCCCACCAATCTCACCTGACTGTGCCGCCATTTTGATCGTGCCGCTGCCGGCGTGTCCGTTCAGACCGGCCCTTGCCTGTTGCCCCTGCCCAGCTTGACCCGTGACCTCGTCGACACTTGACCCCTCCACGCCCTCCGCACATTCCTCCCCCATGTCTTCCTCTGCATCATCTGGATGGAAAAAATAATACATGTAATGTGAGTTCTTCAATCCTGCAAAATCCCAGACTTTATCAATTTTGAAAGATTTGTGATAAGGCCATTTTTTTTTTTTTTAAGTGTTTTTTTTTTCAAAATTTATTTTGTTCTATCAAATTCCATTTCATAAATCCTATTTTCTTATCCACTATTTTCTTTTCACAACCAATACAAGTTCCACGTTCGGAAATAAAACTTTCTGGATTCTGATCCCAATTTTTGGAGCTTTTTCTTGCAATTGACTTGACTCTACCAGTTTCAGTAATACTAAAAAGAGCATTCAAATGCCATGGAAAAAAGCACCTTGAAAATCTTCAAATTTGAAATTCTGGAATCTGGATCTTACCAAATTCATCCCCAAAATCTTCATCCGAGGGTTCCGAGTCCTCTGGATCTGGGTGGAGAGTCTGACAATCCGACATCACTGTAAACATCGGCTCCACTGAAATGATGAATACAATAATTAAAAAAATACAGGCCAAGTAACCAGTAATAATTTTTGATGGTGATGTCTTACAAAGTTAAATGAAAACCTGATAAAGGACTTGTGTAATGGCCAGCAGCTGATTTCACGAAACTTCGCAATGGCGCAAGTCGTTCTCTAAGTTATTGCGCAGCTACGCTATAGGTTTATGGAATAAGTCGTGCGCTATAACCAGTTAAGGCCTAGGTTACGCACTGTTTTATGAAATCAGCAGCACTTCATACTTCAAGCAAAGGCAAAACCAATTTGACATCATAAAACGTTCGCTGCGAAATTTGCCAGAGTTGAAATGTGTCCAACAACTGAATTCACAACGCAAAACTTGCCGTCACAAATTTGCGATCGTGTTTACTTTTGTGCCCAGTATGAACTGGCCTTAAGAGACCACATTTTGACTGATTTTTTTTTCTGAAATCAAGTAAAACTGCTTTGTGGAACAGTGATTCAATAGATTACATTGATGTTGTTTGGCTCAGTGCCACAATGAAATAAAACAATGATGTTATATGGTAAGGTTAAATGTGTACAATGTGGTAAGTGTTCACTAGTACAGTAATAGAACACTGGTCAAGTAAATAAGATTTGAAACTTTGCATGACGGTAGTGTAAACTAGTGAGGGTTTGCGATAACGCCATGTGGAAGAATCTCTTTTGAGAAGATGTGTGGTTCTGAAAAGAACCGGTTGGTTGTGAACCTCGGCATTCCAATCAGTATGCTCTGATCGTCTCCAGGAGATAAAAAAGGGCAAGTATTTCAAGGGTCGCTGGTTCAAATCCCCCTCCAGTCAACTTCTTGGTACACTATCTTACAGGTTTGTTTGTTGTCAGGTATGAATCTCAATTCCCGGATGGCCCCAGCTTGATCTGGCTGCGTTTCTTCTTCTTCATCGTCTTCGTTGTCTCCCGCCCCACCAGTGTCTCTAGAAATTGGGATCTACATACATGACAAAGTAGGCAATGACAAGATTGATGAAAGATCCTAGCAAGACTGTAAACATCAGGGGGTGGAGATGGGGTAGGATAGGGGCGGGTGATTTAAGGTGGGTAATTGGGAGGGGATGGATGGGTAGGGTTGTGAGTTAGGGGGATGGGGCTTGGTGGGACAAGGGGTTGGTTGAGGCTGGGAGTGGCAGGGGTAGGGGTGGCACTTGGTGGCGTAGGGGTGGGTTGGGCGGCATAGGGGTGGGTTGGGAGTGAGTGGCGTAGGGGTGGGTTGGGGGTAGGACGGGGGTATGGTTAGGGCTAGGTAGGGAAAGGGGTGGGGTGAGGCTGGGTAGGGCAGGGACAGGGACAGGGGTAGGGCAGGGACAAGGGCAGGAGGTGGGACTTGGTTGGGCAAGGGTTAGAGTAGGGGCAGGTGAGGAAAGCAGGCAGGTGATGACATGGATGAGGGCTCAGTGATGGGTAAAGGTGGGATGGTGCTGGGGTGAGGATCAGCGTTCTAAACTTCATCTAGCTTCCAAATCACGTTTTCTGCTTCTAGAAATTTTGGGTTCCTGATGTGATGCATCTCGCCTCAATTATAACATATTCTGCTTTACAAAACATAGGAATATATATAAACAAGCATAAAATACTGCTCGGCATATTTTAAAAATCACCTGACAAAGCGTGGCCTTTTTTGTGCGAAAGTCTGTATTTGTTCAACACTGTTAATTCTCTGTGATTGGACTTGTGACACATTTCTGTTGGACCCAACTCACTACTTGTCGTTGGGCCAAATACTGCTCTCAGTGGTTAATGCGCAGAGCGGATAGAATAGACCTACTTGTAGTAATTCCGGCATGAGCGCTGTGTCAATCATGAGGTAGAGACACTCATGTGGGTAGGCAGTTAGATCCCTGGATACAGCGTGCAACGAGATGGCAGGGTAGGGGATCTTTACACCTTGGCTGGTAGCGTTGATCCACGATACATAGCTATAATTACAGTAGTAAAAAAGGGTTAAGACTTATTAAATGAGGTAGACATGGTAGACATATACAGTCCCTGAAGACAATATACCTCACAGCGTTCTGCGGAGCTAACAGGTACCCGGCGGGCTCCTATTTTGTGTATACAGCTAGTCGGGGTACCAGCGACCCAGGTGATCATGAAAAGTTGTAAACGTTCGGACCAGAATCAATAACTCTCTCTCCAAAAAGTGGATTTTATTGGGCATGCTGATTGATAGTGATACATACTTAGATTGGAATATTCACTTTATTCTTCACATGTACTTGAAGTTGTACTTAATACCGTGGAACAAATGACGTTCAGGTTGAAACTTTTGAACACGGAGAAGGGTTTTAGGCCTATTTCACATTTGCGCGTGGCGTTGTTATTCAAGTTATTGACGCCACGTTCACGGGTCTAGGTCAAAATTAAAAAAAATAGGCTCAATATAATTAAGATTGAGAACAGATAGCCTGAGCGAGCTGAGTGACTGCTGTCTGTTGCACTTGCAGATGTAATTTTGGAGCAACAAAATCTTTTTTTAAGTTAACAAATAACAATAAAAAAAAATCTGAGGTGTCCTGAATCACAACTCCTTAAAACTTCAAAGTTCAACCATGAAAGTTGAAACTAAAATTTGCACCGATAAAAAATACACTTTCAGTATAAGTAACTTGGCATCCAGACGAACCTGACGAAACGTATACAAAACGAATGGCAATATTTCAAGGTCCATCCCACTACTCCCCACTAGACGCCGCCACAATGCTTGTGTTGACATGGTTGACAAACTCAATTGACACTGACTGTGACAGACGTCTTGACATTCATTTTTAACTACCTTTCAGCGATGTAAAGTACGCCATTTCCTAGATTTTCCCTCTCCACATGAAGGGCAACATTGTTCTGTTTGTGTCTGACTCCGTCTGCAGGTGCTTGTGTGGCAGAAAGAAGAGACATTTTGAATGACATTTAACAGTGCCGCTCACGTACAAAATGAGCGCATGCGGCGCAGGCAATCAACTTCAGAGTTGGTGGCCGGTGAACATGAAACAGCCGCCAAAATTCGGTGATGATGAAAACAGCCGTTGTATAGATATTGTTATTATTAATATTGAGGGCGCTGTTTACATTGTCCGTAAAATAAATTTATCATCACATCGCGCATGCATAATGCAGCGCACACATTCACGATTCGTACCCGGTACCCGTACATCCGCATTGCTGCATTGATGAAAGTGGCGTGATAAGATTAACGTCAGTTCGTGATTTTTTCCTACAAATACCGTCAAGATACAGAAGAAATCTACTGGTAAGAGAATATAGAGATAATTGGTGTATCATTTAATCAACTAAATTAATTTACTTCATTAAAAACATTATTTTGATGGGGACGATTTCTGCATTCGGTTTTCCGTGTTATGCATGGTGTGCGTGCATATGCACGATGCAGTAGCTCACTGCACTAAAGTAATGCGTAGCTTGAGCCGCCGTGCAATAATGCCGTGAAGTGACAGTTCCCGGGCCCCGTACCTAGTCCGAGTACTTGGGCCCAACTTATCGCCTTTTGGAAAGAATGTTGCAACCTGACGCTACTTCAGCGGTTGTGTAGGCCTACAAAGTCTATGGACATGATGGAGAGTCAAGAACATTTTCTAAGCATTTCCTAACAAAATTGGCAATGTTTCTCAGTCATTGTCAGTCCCAGATTATTATTCATGTTTTATCATCATTTTTGTCAGGTTGCAACATTTTTTCATGTTTCTTTTCTCAATTTTTACATTTCTTTTTTGACAACTCTCTATTGACTGACATTTTACATCTCTAACAAGCAAACAAAACGGTGCCGCAATATATATATTTTTTGTGTAACAAGATTGGAAACATTTCAAATTTCTTATTTTTCCAAAATAAGGTAAATGAAATGACTGAGTGATGGTCATTGTGGTTACATCATGAATAACATTAGGAAGTTAGAAAGAATTTTTTTTTTTTCATTTGAAATATTCCTTTTATTTAATTTTTTAGGTATACAAAGCTCTATTTACCATGGCTACCTTGGTCAGTTACATCCAGCCGTCGGAGTGGCAGTTCCAATGGGTGTGCCACGGTATAGACGAACAGGTCCCCGGGAGTGGCGGGCAGGAGTGCGCCCTTTTCCTGGGCCCGATCCAGAGACTTCTAGAGACCATTCTGGTGCTCTCAGTATGTGCAATCGAGATGTGGCTGACCTGGCCGCATTTGGAGATCCCGGCCAGCTTGCTGGAGGCTGTGGAGCGCCACCGCCTGTCGGGCCGCGGAGAGGCGGGCAAGCGCCTGTTGCTCATCGTGCTGTGTGTTGTTTTCGGCGTGGAACTGGGACTGAAATGCGCCTCAAAGAGCGTCATCTACATGATGAACCCTTGCCACGTGCTCACGCTTGTTCAGGTAGGTTGCTACATGCTGCGAGGAAATATCGCTTGACCCTAAAGGAGGCGGAGCTGATTTGCATGGTGCGTGAAGAAGGAGGGAAGTTTCTCTTCTAATATCGGGCGATTCTCGGGCCAGAATCAAATAAAAGCTGTTGTATCAATTGTTGCCATCGCAAATTTTGTGACGGAATCCATTCTCTTTAGAAGCTTATTCCCATTTCCGCTGCGTTTCCATTTCAGACAAGCGCTGCCCTTTGTGCAAGCGTGCAACAACATGTGACCTCTCCTCGCCAATGGCGAGGTTAACAAAACTATAATTAATACGTGTCGGACAAAATATTAATCGCAAGTTCTTACGTGCCTATGACAAAAATTATTTGTCACATCATGGCAGTCAAAAAAGTATTAAAAACCTTCACCACATGCCTACATGTAGATGTACGGCCAATTAAAAAAAACAAAATAGTTTTCTTGTTAAGCTTTTCTTTTGAATGAAGAAGGCGGCCTTTTTTTTCCCCTCCAAAGATGGTGGATTTTCCAAGAGGGCAGATGGAATCGAATAGTAAATTGAGGCTAGTCCTGGTTCATGCTACATGTTTCTTTTGGCACAGTTGATTGATGCAGTACTGAAGAGGTGTTGGACTGGTTGTTTCAGGTGCCAGTCTATGATTTTCTTGCATTGCAAATTTTTAATGCCTTAAGTTTTGGGACTCTCATACACAGTGTTGGGAGTCCCAAATTTTCAGACTAGTTGTCGACCAGCCTGTACAAAAGCTGTGGGATAGATTTTTTTTTCGGTTTGTCATAGTTATATCAGTAGGAGGGTTATCTAATGGAGCACTTAGCTTAGAGCGTCAGCCACAAAACGATACAATGTATAGGTCAGCAGCACTTAGCTCTGTCGCTGTGCGGTATTTTTAGAAATAAATCAATATCACTATGAATATTTGATAAAGTGTAGTCGATGGGGCAATTCACGGTGCGCTGTTTAACATGTCGACTCTTTATTCAAAGCTGTGACCGGGTCCCAATTACATGCAGCTGCAAAACAGTTTGCTTGACATTTTCTGCCTGGAATTGACCAATTTAGTTTAAACTGTGTTAATTTTTGAAATTTTAAAATCAGTTTCCTTTTTACGTGTACATGTATGTGAGTTTTGCTTCAAAAGCTGGATTCAGATCCAGTGAAATGGAATAAAATTCAATTCAAACTGTTGACTTTATGCTAACTTTGTTTAAAGGGGCACTGCGTCCTGAAATCCCCGAAAAATTTCGTGTTTTGGATGGTTTACTTAGCCTATTTCAAACATCTGGTTGAAAGGAAACCAACCTAATGTCTTATCGTTCCCGAGAAAAGACGAGAAAAACCCGATTGTTTACATCGGACATGACGGAGTATGATACGCATTTCCTGTCGTTGTGTGTGTCTAGTATTGTACACACGTACACAGCACCGTGCTCACGAATAGCGGTGACCAATCACCAATGCACAGTGATTTCTTACACGTCCGCAAAAGGTGGACCCCGAAAGTCGTTCTCGTACAAATAACACATGAATACTACAAAAGTGCCCAGTTTTTAAAGGATAGTTGTGTGGATGTTTATATCCTACTTTTAAATGTTCTTTCCGATTAACATCGTTTCATTAAAAGCGCGTTTTGTAGCCCAATTGGGTGTCTTCCGGGACGCAGTGTCCCTTTAAGGCAGAGTAAAAAAATTAACAGTTTCTCGTCCGGGCTTTTGAAAAAAGGAAGGAGGGAACAATTGTTCCCCGTAACATGGCATATTCTTCCATTTTCTCGACTCTTTTGCTGATACAAAATTGTGTTGAAATGAAAGGAGCCGTTTCTACATATCTACAATTTTGGCGGAAACAAATGAAATAAAGATATTGACAACATGGGAAAAATGTATTTTAGTATACGAGACAGGACCATAAACTGGTTAATTTTTTTCACTTGGCCTAAAAAATGGGGCGAGTCTATACCAGGAAGCATTGTGCATGAACTGTATGCCTAGTGTGCCTATTCTTCAGTACATGTACCAATTTGTGTATGTTGAGCTATATCATTGGCTGTATTCATTCAGGATGATATATGATGTATACATTTCTATACATGCTCATATGTATACAAAGCATAGGATTACACATGATTTATATAAGGCCAACATGTATGATGCACAATGAACATGTTGGCGTTTTGCCCAAGCTAGCTGCCAGCAACTAAATTCAAATTGACAAACATTTAGGCTAACACTTAAAGGGAAAATACAACATTTGCAAACATCCAAAAATAAAACTACCAAATCATTTTGAAATACCTTGCTGGACTGTTAGTGAATGACAGTGTAAAGCATCCTGTAAAATCATCGCACCTGGTATACTGTCATTTTCAAGAAAAGTGGTATTTTTGTATCAATTTCCAACGCTGGTCGGCCGACCAGCGTTGGAAAAAACTGGCTTTGTTTCAAATACTGGCCCCAATTGACCATCGCACTTGTTTGCAATCGATTACACACCTATGAATGGGTACAAGCCAGCTAGACTGGCTCCCTGACCTTACAATTCCCCAATGTATGTAAACTGCTCTGTTTCTTCTTATATGGAGTCAGGGAACCAGACTACAGGAAAACAATTGTTTGTCTTGGTTTTTATAGCATTTTCGAACCCAAAACCTCAAAAAAGTCAGTGTAACTATATTTGCTATATATTTCCAACCCACCAATTCCATCCATTTCTGAAAATTACAGCAAAAGCAAATGATGTATATTCCCTTTAAGTCATTTTGTTGACATAACTGTTAACCGTTTGACCATCTAGCCAGTGCATAAGATCAAGGACAGCATTGTCTATTGGGCTGATGATCTTAAGAGGATTAGTGGTCTGATTGTGTACACAAAAGCCCATACTGTTGATAGGCTATGACCATATAGAGCAAGAAGATAAGTGCTACTACATTGTACATTGTACACAAGTATGGGCATGTCAGTACATTTTGTGGCTTTTGATGTTCCAAAACCCACCAGGAGCGTGTATTAGGCCATATTTAATTTAACCCCAACCCTGCTGAATCCAAGAGGATCCAACTATGTCACATACCCGATGGAGCCTGTTGGATTGAGCAGTAAACCCCTTGTGTACATTCCTGATGCAAAATGTTGGATTCAGCAGGTAACTGAACCGCATTATAATGCCAAGTTGGAGTCCGTTGGACTCAGCAAACAGCTGAAAATAAGGCACAGTGGATTGAGCAGGAAACTCTGGTTGGACTCTGTTGGATTTAGCAGGGTAGTCCTGAGGAACTACTAGGGGGTTAGGGTTAATTATTATTGTTTATTCATGCAAAACAATATTGGACAACACGGACAGGCATCGCATAGGGAGCGACAAGGATAATGAAAGGCAGCCCAAGCCTTGCTCAGTAGCAGTCTCAGAACTGGGTATGGGAAAAGAAATAATTTCCTTCGGCATTATTGATTTGTTTTTTCACTTAGTTTGATTCAGATAACAAGGTTACCAAAGATATTTGAGTCCTGTTAATTACTGACATACCGGTATTGAATTATGCATGGCGTATTAATTATTTATTGCATCCTCTTCACTCCACCCT